AAGACTCTGCAAGTCTTTCCCTCCGGCTCTGGGCTTGGTCTTCAGCCAATCTGCCCTGGGACTACAGAAGTCAAGGGACTCAGTTCCAATAAGGCTTTCGAATGTCCACTAGCATCTCCATGTGGACATTGTCTTTTTCTTTTGCTACTGTTCCTCAGAAAGCTTTGCTTTCTATGCTCATTCAAGGAAACTAGTTGAATCAACACATTCACCACTGTTGCCATAGTAACAAAATGCCATGACCACTTCTATTCCTAGTATTTTGTCCTCTGCCTGCACTTTTTTTAAAAAAATACTACTACCACTGGTGATAATTTGAGCAATTGTGATGTCACCACAGGCCTTGTCTCACCCATGCTCCATCTTTCTCCATCACAGTGGGTATCTCTGCACTCCTTAGATGTGGCAGCAATCTAATTCCAGAATCCAGCTTTGATGATCTTTTACCTGATTCCCATGATTGAACTGCTCAAGGTTCCTAAAGGAAATAGATGTCACAAGAACTCTGTGAATCTGGGTCAGGTTGAACCTGCACAAAGGCTCTGCATCAGAGGGGTGGATGATAGAATGTCATCTAATACTTCCTTTTCTTCATTAGCATATGTGCCTAGTCCTAGAATGTCATGTAACTCTGCACTTAAAAGGTTAGGGGGCTGGGATGGTGGCTCAGTGGTAGAGCTCTCGCCTAGCATGTGCGAGGCCCTGGGTTCAATCCTCAGCACCATATAAAAATAAATAAACAAAATAAAGGTATTTTGTCCAACTACTTCTAAAAAATAAATATTAAAAAAGGTTGGAAGTCAATGTGGTTCTTTGCTGTAAATGTTCATGTCACTTCACACTGTGCCTGTTTGTGCTGATCTAGGATGGGGCTTTTTAAAAGCATCTGGCAACCTTCCTGTGACAGGAGGATGCATGCACATAGTAACTCAGTAGTCTTAGTTATCCAGTTCTGGTGTTGAATACAAAGCACAGAACTGTCTTTTAATGGAACAATATGGTACTTTTGCTCCTTTCCATAGCTATGATCAAAATCTTAAGGGAACTCATTTATTGCCATGTCATACCATAGACCCCACCTAAACCCATCAAGGCAGCTACAAACGGTCCATTTATTGGATTGTTTTGGAATAATATGCTCAAGGGTTGTAACTGCTTTACAACTATTTTTGCTTGAAAAAAGACCTCAAGGTGCTCAGGTTCCCAGTCCCAATGGGTTCCCCTTTGTACTAAATGGCACAATGGTGTAACATCTCTGCTAAATATAGAATGAAGGGGCACCAGTCCCTTAAAGATCCCAAAGTTGTCTGCAACTATTGGGAAGGAGCTGGAGAAACAAAATCTTGGGCTACATCTATAACAGCAGCTGGTACCCCTTTAGCTTTACCCAAATCCACCCATCCCTGAGTACTTAACAGATAGCCCAGATTGTGCTATTTGGAAGAGGCTCATCCAGGCTCATCCTCTCCCTTGGAGATGTGTGATCAACACTTGAGCTGTTTTTGCTAGGTGGGGAAAAGACTCAGATTAACAGTACACTATCTTTAAATTTAATATTCAGACCACTAAATTACAATTTAACTCCTTGAAGTGCCTCTCCCAGAGATTCATGGTAATGATGATACCTTCCTTTCTCCCCACACAGAATGCAGGTGAATGGTAGAGCCAAATAGGATTTATCTCTCTAAGACAACTTTCTCCTGATTCTTGTGTTTATGCTTGTCTCCTTGGGCCTGAGGTGGCAACAGCAGAAACAGAGCTGTGGAAACATTGCCGTGCCCACAGGGCTGGGTAGTGGCTTTTCCTTTTCCCTTCCTAGTGACCCAGATCTGGCCCACCCACTCTTCCACCTCTGCCTCCACCACTGTTGCTTCTGCTGTGGGCAATTTATGTCCAATGGTGTGGACAGACGCATAGCGCTTGGACTCAACTGTCACTACTGCACCATCACCACCACTGCCAGCTCCCAGTGGGAAGTGAGGGGGGAACAGAGGGTGGAAGCTTGCTTTGGCCCTATGTCCTGCCCAGAGGGTGACTCTGGACAGGACATCTGGGAGATTCCTGCCTGTTTCACCAAACTTGGGTGCAAGCCTTGCACCCCACTGCAGGAGTCAGTGAAGGGGGCAAGGAGGAGGGAGGGAATTTGACAAAGCCCCACTTGAAGCTCTAATGATGTCTGAACTGCCATTAGGAGCCACTGCATGACTACTATAATCTTATACCAATCTTTCCTTTACTGTAAATCCTATTGTCTATTAATAAACTTTAGTATTCCCCCTAATCCATAGGGTGGGGAATCCCTATACTCACAGGGTAGCCCCCCGACATCCATAATTGTCACCACCACCCAACACATGAGGGTTAAAGGTCATCCCAGGAGATTCCCCATACCAGTCTATCTCCTCTTTTCAAAGACCACATCCCCAGTGCCCATGGAAATTTCCTTGGTCTCCTGGCTGGGGCACCAAATGTAATATTCACAGCCAAGTTATCTTAGGGCAGAGGGACAGCTTGCTGAGAGACCAAAAAATACACCTGGAGATGGGATGAGAGATAGAAAGTTTATTGAGAAATGCTTATGGGGAAGATCCAGTGGCAACGGACTGGTCAGGTGCCAGTCTTTAGTGGCCAGTTGGGTGAGCACTTCCCTCTCCAAGGTGCTCTATTCTGCAGTTGTAACCACAGGGAAAGGGGTTTATAAGTTAGGCTGGAAAAGCAGTGGCGTCATCACTCTGCTACTTTGTTTAGCTCCTTATATGACCAACATCCCAAGGAGCAGCTGTCCTGGTGTTTGTGCAAGACAAACACTGCAGATAACACTGGCCAGTCCTATTTGCAACATATGTGAGAAACAGATAGTCAGTGCCCTTCAACATGGTATTTATCTGGTATAACCAGTCCTAGTACTTTTAATCTCTGGAAAGTTCTTATTGTATTTTATTTTTATATAAGATTAAGTGTTTCTACCAATGCAATTCTTATTGTGGCATTTTTCTCTATAAAAAGAAATATTTTTAGCTTAACTCCCAGAATCACTATCAATTCCAAAGTATCACAAAGGGATTCTTACATCCTGTTATATTTGAATGCTGAGAGTTGAGGGGGATCGTGACTTTGACTCTTGGATCTGAGGAAAGAGGGGCCAGGGCTGTTACTCTTGGAACAAGGGAGAAAGGGCTGGGGCCTGGACTCCAGGGTTTGAGGTAGGAAGGGTTGAGGGGTTGGACTTACAAGTATGAGGGGGATCGGGACACTGGGTTCACACATCTGAGAGAGGTGGCAGCTGGTGCAGGGACCCATAGGTTCTTGAGCAATGAGAGGGCTGGGGGGTCAGGCATCAGGGACCCAGCATTTGAGGTGGATGTTTCACTACCTTTCCCTTAATTTTTCTTCTGGAGGCAGAATCAAACTAGAGAAGGCTGGATGCGTTGGCACACGCCTGTAATTCTAGCAACTCGGGAGGCTGGTAGCAACCTGTGACCACTCGGTTACTGGTCATGCATATAATTTAAGGATGTACAAAGTGATGCTGAACAGAACGTTCCTCTATTCAGCTATCTAGAAGACCATGCAGGAGGATGATGCAATGATACAATCAGAGAAAGAAGCCTAGGCTAAGCAGTGGCTCCTGCACATGGACTGCGGGGACCAAGTTGGTTTCCAGTGCCAAGGGCCTCTGGGTGGTGTTGGAGCAAGGGAAAGACTTGAGAATATGAGAGGTCATTTGGGTAGGCCATTTGGTTCAGTGGATAAAGATCAAGAGTTTAACCTCCTAGTGTGGCTGGAGAACCAGAGATAATGCTCCTCAAAGAGAAGAAAATAAGAAGCAAGGTCACTTGGATACGCACCCCACACCCTACACTGCAACGCCTGGGGCTGCCAAAGACCAAACCAACTCTCTTCTGCCAGCTTGCCCACTACTCACCTTCTGCGCATGCACACCTACCAGGTTGCCAGGGATTGGCTACTCTGTGGCCAATGAGGAGCAGAGATTCTCTAGACTCATCCAATGGAGTTCAGCCAATGCTTTTGCGTCAACCAATGGGACTTCGAATGTCCTGTCAGGCTGAGGCTGGCCCCGCCTTCCGTGTCTCTGGGAGCTGGATTGTGCGAGAAATACCAGCCCGCATGTTTGGCGTGGTGAGATTCTGGTGAGGTCATCCTGCAGCCAGCAAGAACTTGCTGCTTTAAAGGGGGGGAAAAAGGAGGAAAGGGACTTAGATTCCTGGATCTGGAAGAAAGGGAAGGCCCTGGGCCAGACTCTCAGGTCTGAGAGAGGAGGGCCTGAGGCCCAGACTCCCGGGTCGGAAGAGAGAGGACTGAGTTTTGAGCTCCCAGGTCTGGGGGAGGAGGGCTGGGCCTGGACCCCTGGTCCTGATATAGGAGGCCTGGGGCTGGCCCCTGGGTCTGAGGGAGGAGGACTGGGCTGGACCCCTGGGTCTGAGGGAGGAGGGCTGGGCCTGAGGGAGGAGGACTGGGCTGGACCCTGGGTCTGAGGGAGGAGGACTGGGAGTGGACCCCTGGGTCTGAGGGAGGAGATCTGGGCTGGACCCCTGGGTCTGAGGGAGAAGGGCTAGGCTGGCCCCTGGGTCTGAGAGAGGGCTGGGCCAGAGGGAGGAGGGGTGGGCCTGAGGGAGGAGGGCTGGGTCAGAGGGAGGAGGGCTGGGCCTGAGGGAGGAGGGCTGGGTCTGAGGGAGGAGGGCTGGGGGTTGGATTTTTAGGTCTGAGGGGGCGGGGTTATTAGCTCAGACTCCTCCATCTGAGGGAGGATGCTGGGGGCTCTGAATCTTGGGTCTTGAGGGAATGAACCACTGCAACCGTAATTCCTGGATCCCAGGTAAGGTAGGGCTGGTGTCTCATAATCCTGGGTTCTGATGGAGTTAGGGGCTGAAGGCTGGCATATTAAGTCCTTGAGAAAATACTGATTTAAACTTGACTCCTGAGTCTGAGAGAAAAGGAGTTTTTGTGCCCAGACTCCTAGATCCAGTAGTTTAATGGTATTGGGTTGCCAGATTTCTTAGCCATAGGGAATGGGTGGTTGGGTCTGGGAATTACAGTCACAGAAATTAGGCATAATAAACTTTTCACCTTTCTTAAACTCACAAGTTAGGGACAGACTGACTTCAGAGGTCATAATCTTGTATACCATAAATCTACCCTAAAGCAGTATTTGCCAAAAACCTAGACATTACCTTTTCTACATCAAATCACAGATCTTGATCAGTTCTTCCTAACCTCTCTAAAAGAAGCCATGCAAGCCTACCATTTCCAGGATTTCCTGTTCCTCTTTCTCCTAGGAGTCTCCTCCTTGACATGTAAGTATGTGGGATGGGGAGAAGAGCCCCTGGGTCACAGAGGATGGATTTATGGTGAAAAGGGAGTCACTTTGAGAAGGGAGAGAAGGGCAAGGGTTATCTTTATCTCATTTTCTTTCCAGTGGCCCAACATTTGTATTGTCACAAGGGTGTGTATATGGATATAGAAGATGATCCAGCCCACACATTTAACTGGACCACAGAGAAAGTTGAGACTTGTGACAATGGAGAACTTTGCCAGGAAAGTGTATTAATGATTACAGCAGGTAAAAAGAAAGTGGAGCAGTTGGTTGGGTGGGAGAGAGGGTTATTTTGCCCATATCACTGCTGTTTCCCCTTCGCCAGGAGAGGCATGAGGCCTGCCATCCATTTTTCTTTCCTCCTCTCATCAGGGGACAAGACAGCCGTTTTGGCCACTAAGGGCTGCTTCGCGCAATTGATGGAGGCAATGACATTTGTCCAGCACACTTCATCTCCTGGTTTGACTGCAGTATCCTATAGTAGCTACTGTGAGGATCCACTTTGCAACAGCCGACAAAGCATAGTTGATTTTTGGAAAACACAAAAGACATTAGATGCCCCGGAAGTAGGTGAGATTGTATCTTTTTTCCTCTTTGTGTTCTTACTTGACCAAGTGGTACATGCACAAAAGGACCTCCCAGTCAAATTAATTTTCTCTAAACAGTTACCTTTGTGGGTCTAAGCAATGCTCAGAGTAGAGCTCTAGGACTTCAGTGAAGGCTGGAGTGTAAACTGAATTTGTATTTATGAAGCAACAAGATGTCTGCTGCTCTTTTTGAGTAGGGTGGTGGTATTTATTGTCAGTCTAACAATTTTGGTTCCTCATTGCTGCATGATGACAGCCCAATTCCCCAATTCAACCTCAAAGCTTATAATAATCTGACCTGTCTATCTTCTCACTTCATTTCCCTCTTTCATTTATTGTGTTCTATTTGGGGCTAATATTCAATCCTCAACAATGGAGGTGGTACTGGCCATTAAAAAGAAAAAAAAAAAAAAAACAGTTCAACTGTACTTGTGCCTACCTACTGAGTATTATCCCTGAAGTTTCTCAGTTTTTCATATCCACCAAGCTGCTTCACATCTCTTGAACTTTGTCCTTGCTGTCTTTTTTGTTACCCCGACCAAAACTCCATTTTTACATAGCTAACCTCTGTTCATTCTTCCTCTTAAATCAAGTTTCAGCTCTTTGAAAATATTGACCTAATTTTTTTAGGTAGTTAGGTCTTCCTCCATTCCTTTGCCATTATACCTTGAACATAATACCTACTGAGTTGCAGTTAATTACACGTCTCTCTCCCTATAAACAATGATGCTAGAATTGTATCCTTCTCATCTGTCTTTAAACCTAAGCACAAAGTTTGGAAGTAATGTGGATGGGGTTCTGACACAAAATCAGCTGGGGAAGGATGGGGAGGCTTTATTAATGGGCTTGATTAGAGTGGCATAGTCAGGAAAGGCTCTGGGAAAGGAAGGCAGCAAGGAGAGAATCCTTCAGAGGTGGGTGGGATATGTCCCTTAACTGTCCTTCTCTTCCTGCTCTAGAGACCACCAGTATGACAGCAACCCTCCACTGCCCAACCTGTATAGCTGTGGGGACCTGTTTAAGTGCTCCTTCTCTGCCTTGTCCCAATGGTACAAATCGATGCTATCAAGGAAAAGTTGAGCTCAGTGGAGGTAAAGTGAAATGAACATCTGATGGTGTCAGAAGCTGGAAAACCAGACATCTGAGTAGATCCTGACAGGGGCTGGCACTCAGAATTTCAAAGATGAGGGAGGATTGGCTTCTCCTCTGCTTTCCTAAAATATTCCTGTCTCCCCATCCTTTGTTCCATAGGAAGCATGGAATCATCTGTGGAGGTCAAAGGCTGTACAAGCATAATTGGTTGCAGGCTGATGGCCAGAATCTCATCAATCGGACCCATGGCAGTGAAGGAAGTGTGTCCTCATCAGTCTGTCTATCAATCCCGAAAGACTGAAAGTGGAGCCACTTGGCTTCTCGTTTCAGTTTGGTGTTTAGCATTACTGCTACCAACACTGCTGCAATCACTTATCCATTTTTCCTGAGAAGGCATTCCTATTCCTGTGTCTCAGGAAACTTTTGACCGTGAGGCTTCTGACTGCTGGTCATCAGTTGAAGGTAGAGATTTGAAGGGGAACAGAGAGAGAGGCTGTGGATATATTTGATATGTCTAATAAAATTTCCATTGTGATTTGTGAATACCTCAAGACTAGAAATGGAATTTTAGTGCTGAAATAAAATTTGTCTTCAACTCATACATTTTCCAAACAGGAAATATGAGACCTAGAAAATCCACCATGCGGCCTGCGCAATGGTTTCATTAATGAGGTTCTTGGCATAAAGTTAGTTAGAAGAGATCGAAATAAAACACACAGACTCAGTTACCTTATTTCTATTGCCAAGTCCGAGACGGCTCCCCTCTCTGGCTCCAACCTCTAACCACCCAGCAGGGCAGCAAGGATTACTCAGGGCTAGCAGGAGAGAGAGAGAGTGAACACGCCAGGGAGTAGCCTTTTATTGGGGAACAAGAAATTCAGGGGATAATTCCATCCAATGAAGGTTGAGGGGGGACTGCACTCCAAGGTCAGGGTCAGTGATTGGGCCCCCCGGGGTCAGTGGTCAGTCACACCCCCACACGGACGGGTTCTCTCATCAGGAAAGGGCCGGGAAAATTCCGACACAGCCAGAAGCCTCAGACCCTTAACGGGAGTCACCCAGTCACGTGTCAGGATGGCTTCCCACAAGAAAACTTAGAACTGAGGGGTTTTTTGTTGTTGTTGTTGTTTGTATTTACAGAGCTATGGAGAGAATCAAGACATGAACTTAAGATATTTTGACCTAAAGTCTGACTTTCCTTTTACTCTAATATGCTAACTTCTCTTGCTAGCTGGACTGTGACTAGCCTCCTCCAGAATCCTTCTAGCACAATCTTACAGCCAAAGTTAGTTGCTTTGTGGTTCTAATATATTCCTAGGAGGGAAGGCAGAAGAGAAAAATCAGACTCTAAATTCGTTGATTATAATGAGCCCATCTCCTTATGTCCTGTCTGTCCCTGGCCTGCTCTGAAGCATTTTCTCCTTTCTCTGTGGTTTACTTAATGATTCTTCCATAGACCCACAGAATTTGGGAAGAAATTAGGGTTTGGCAGACTATGATGAATGGGGTCCTGGGATTTAGGAGGAAGATATTATTTGGAAAATTCTTGTTTGCTTATTTACTTATTACTAAAAAATACATAAAATCTTTTTTTGGGAGTACTGGGGATTGAACTCAGGGGCACTCAACCACTGAGCCACATCCCCAGCCCTATTTTGTATTTTATTTAGAGATAGGGTCTCACTGAGCTGCTTAACACCTCACTTTTGCTGAGGCTGCCTTTGAATTCAAGATTCTCCTGCTTCAGCCTCCTGAGCAACTGGGATTATAGGCATGCACCACCATGCCTGGCTAAAAATACATAAAGTCTTAAATATAGAAGACTCAGATCATACAGGAGGCATCCAGAGAAAGTAAAATGTGGGGTGGGAGTGGGGACAAAAACACAAAAACTACTAGATAGTTCATAGAGGAAAATGGTTTTCTTTTTTAAAGGTAAACTCAGAGACATTTAATATTCCAATAAGTGTTAATAAAAACAAGTAAAAAAAAACAAGTGCAAACATGTTTTAGATCAAAATTAATGTGAAAAAAAATGAGAATTTTTTGTCATCTATTAGCCAGTGTTACTAGTTAAATGGTAATCACAGACAAAACATATTTTGTGAAAAGCTTGGAAGAGTCTCTAGTCATTCTGGCATTTCAGACAGCTATGTACAGTATTATCAAGTTCAGTTTATATATGCAAATGTTGAAGAGAAATAAGGCAAAACATTTTAAATCAGACTAACCATACAATCAAGCGCAAAACTTGGGAGCAGGAAGAAGACATTATTGAAAAAAAGCCAGGGAAGGACATTATCAGAAAGAAGTACAAAACCAGTAATTATTTCACATTAATATAGCATTCTAAAGGAGGAAGATGCATTTTTTCAATGAACTAACTTCAGAGTTTAAAGAGGAAAAAAAAGACAAATAGTCATTTTTCATCAAGAGCTGCTATATTAGTGAATGCAGAAAGCACACACATTTTTCAAAATTTCAGTCTATGAATTGTTTAGTTTTTTTAAAATATATCTATCATAGTCCAAAGAAGTTTTTACAGTTTATACAAATATTCAGGTCACAAACTCAAGGGCACAAACTTTTTGTTTTTTTGTATTGGGAATTGAACTCAGAAGCACTTTACCACTGAGCCACATCTCCAGCCCCCTGCCTTTTTTTTTTGAGAATGTGTCACTAATTTGCTTAGGGCCTCAACAAGTAGCTGAGGCTGGCCACAAATTTGCAATCCTCTTGAGTTGCAGGGATTTCAGGTGTGCTCCACTGTGTCCAGCCATAACTTTTTAAAACATACTAAATATTTTAATACAGTGTTTATTTTAAAATATTTTTTATCACAATCCCACATTCTACCAAATGGAAGATAGAGACTTCACCATTTGAATAAACCCAGTCACATCAGGGTATTATTCTCAGTTAGCTCAGATTTAAGTTCAGTTAATTCAGGGCTTTCCTTCCAGTGTCTTCATTCATAGTTTTTTGTTACAGTCCTGATAGGAAGGAGGTGACTGTGTTAGTCTGCTCTTTGTCACCATAACCAAAACACCTGATATAAACAACCTAAAGGAGGAAATATTTATTTTGGCTTACAGTTTCAGAGGTTTTGGTCCATGGTGGCCAGGCTTCAAGGCTGACGGATCATGGCAGAGGAAAGCTGTTCAGCTCACAATATCCAGGAACTGGGGATGGGGGTTGGGGATCAGGGACATGATATAGTCTCCAGTGACCTACTTCCTCCAACCAAGTCCCACATGCCTATAGTTTTTACTACTTCCTAGTAGTCCATCCAGCTATCAGTCCACTAATAGATCAGAACCTTCATGATCCAATTTCTTCCCAAAAGCCCACCTCTGAACATTTCTGTACTGGGGACCAAGCCTTCAACACGTGAATCTTTAGAGGACTTCATATCCAAACCATAACGGCAGCTGTCTAGGTTTGTTTCTTCATGCTCTTCTCATTACTCATGTCCAAGGTCTTACTGAAGCGTGGTACTTGGCTTCTATTCCTGCTGAAATGGAATCTGTGGACCTTGACTAGGCATCTATGAGAATCTACGTGGGCCCTTTAAGTTCTGCCATCCCTCTCAGGCACTTTCAGAAGACACTCTCTTTCAACTGTTCTCAAGTCCCTTCAGGGAACTTCAGGAATCTGAAGCTGCCGTGACATCCCCATGTAGGTGATGAAAATTCTCCTAAAGGTCTGGAGAAAAGAGAACTTCATAGGAACTTGTTTCCTCTCAAGGAACTAAGTAAGACGTAGGGCCTAGATCCCAGAATTTTGTACACACCACTATTGCATTTCTTAAATCTATTGTTTGTGGCAATAGTCACCTTGTACTTCATTCGTAGAGTGAAACTCAAAAATCCCATTTCTTGCAAATCAAAAGTTGGGCCTTTAGAACTATCATCTCTGCCTGCTTTGAACTTCAAGGCTGAATTTTAAGATATTTCTCTCTTTGAACTCCTGTGGTAATAGCCCTAGAACTTGAGTCATCTCCTCTTACGAGCTGGCACCTGCCCCCTGACCAGAGAGCATTCCAGAAAGCGTTTTAAGGTTAATGAAAACACAAAATATCAGATGTTGTGAGATGCTTCAAGGGTAGAACCCAGGGAAATGTAGATCACTGAATAACTATGTTAGCAAAGAGGTAACTTATCAAATTAATGACCAACTTCCACATGTAAAAAAATAGAAAAAGGTGAGCAGATCAAACATAAGCTGAAGAAATGAAAATTTAAAAATCCAAGAGCTGATTAAGAAATCAGAATGAGGAAAAGATAGTATTTTCTAAAAATAGTGCTGCAAGAGCATAAGGTAAGACCCCGATCTGACACCATACACAAAAATTAACTAAAAATGGAAAATAGACCTAAACACAAAAAAACTATATACCTGTTAGAAGACAACATAAAAGAAAATCTTCACGAACTTCAGGTAGGCAAAGGGTTCTAATATATCACAATCCCAAAAGTACAATCTACAAATTGACAAACTAGACTTCAAAATTAAAGTCTCTTGTTCTGTGAAAGATACCTTAAAAGGACAAGAAAACAAGGTACAGGTTGCGAGAAAATATTTGCTAATCTCCTATCTGACAAGTACTCATATCTAGAATAAAAGAAATCTCAAAAGTCTACATATTCAAAAAATTCCAGTTAGAAAATTAGCAAAAGTTATGAGAAGTTATGAAAAGGCATTTCTCTGAAAAAGCTATTATGCCAAATAAAAACATGGAAAGGCTTCACCATCCCTAGCCATTAAGATCATGATGAAATAGCACTGCATACCTAAATAGCATTGCGTAACTAAATAGCACTGCATTCCTAAATAACACTGCATAACTAAAATTAAAAAGTTACTCTACCAAATTCTGGGGAGAAATTAAGAAAATGGACCTCTCCCTCTGATGTGGGAATGTAAAAATGGCACATCCACGGTAGAAAATAGTTTGGCCATTAATTTTAAAACTAAACATACACCTACCTTACTTCCCAGGACTCACACTCCTGGGCATTTATCCCAGACAAATGAAGCCATATGCAAATTCTGTACACGATTGTTCAAAGTATCATTATCTGTAATAGCCCCAAACTGGAATCATCCAAAATGTCTTACCACAGGGGAATGTTAAACAAACTCCACAAAAGAAACGAATTACTGATACAAACAAAAACTTGGATGAATCTCAAAAGCATTATGCTGAATGAAAGAAGTCAGTCTCAAAGATCACACACATATGAGTCCATTCATACACCATTCTTTTTTTCCCCAAAACATTTATTTTTTAGTTGTAGGCAGACACAATATCTTTATTTATTTTTATGTGGTGCTGAGAATCAAACCCAGTGCCTCTCACATGCTAGGCAAGCGTTCTTCCTCTGAGCCACAATCCCAGCCCTCATATACCATTCTTGAAATGCAAAATGATAGATTATATTATTTAACTGCACATATCCAAAACAATACCAATTCTACATGTAATCAAAGCAAACATTTTAATGAGCTATTTTACT